ATCTCTTTAACAAAATCACCATAAAGGCGCTAAAGATAGATTCCTCGAGAAAAGGGAGAAACAAGGGAAAACAAGAAGTTTTCCCCGTTAACCGATCTGTGACAAGATCCTATTCGCAGGCCCTTAACAGTTTGGTATTAGAGCAGGGCGTCATGGGTGACTTAAAGCAATTGAAGACTAGGGTTCATGATCTGAAGCACAAACTCGTGGAAAACAGCAGGGAGGTGCGCGAGATCAAGGACAACGTCCGAGAATTGAGGCGCTTGATGGAGTTATATTTTTCCAGCAAGGAAAAGAGTTCAGAAGGGGCTGCAACCATAGACGGCCGCCGACCAGACATGGAAGAATCGTCCGACGAGCAGCAGCTCGTTGCCCAGGGAACCACGATCGTTCCCAAATACAGCAGGCTGGAATTTCCTTCCTATAATGGAACTGGAGATCCTTTGGGATGGCTGTACAGATGTGAGCAATTCTTCCGCAACCAACGAACAGAGGACAGGGACAAGGTAGGCTTAGCCGCATTCCACATGACAGAGGAGGCGCAACTCTGGTTTTATAAATTGGAGCAGGAGGANTTATGCGTCTCACCTAGGCCCCAGGAGCAGCACTTTCAACAGGTGCACACTTGGTGCACCTTGTGCTTCAGCCTAGGTGTGCACTTTTTTGTTATTTTTTAAGTCTAGCAGTTGGTCTGGGAGCAGATCTCCTGGACCCTCGACCAAGCCCCTTGAACATTAGCTAATGTTGTTTATTCATTCATCCTGAAAAGGTATTTTTAGAAGATAAATTAAAATTATAAAATCATTTTTTTTGTAGGGATTAAGAATTTATGACCCTAACATGGACTTGTTTGGGCTTGCCTCAAGGGGCTTGGTACAATGGCAGTTTGAAAAATTAGGAATAGAAGACATTTAACATCACATTAGCTATTTGAAATAATGCAATTGGTTAGAGATAAAGAAATTAAAAGTTTGACTTGCCTGAATATTTTAATTTGAGTTAATAGGCTTTTTAAAACATTTGTTTAAAATTGAAGTTTGATTTTTTTGAGTAATACTATTTTTAATATTTTCTTAATTTATTTTGATTTTTTTTACATTATTTGCATTTTTTTTTTTAATTTTGCGCCTTACCTTGCACCTTGCACCTTAGGCACAAAATTGCCGTTGTGCTTTTTTTGTGCCTTGTCCTTTTAAAACACCAAGTAGGTGAATAGATTCACATCTTTCATCAGATAGAAAGTGATTGGAAGACTCATAAATAGGATTAGGACTCTCTTTAAGTAAGAAAAAGAAAAAGTGGCTCACCAATAAGATTGGCCAAACAGTTGGGGCTTCAGCAGATTGAGATAGAGGGGGATTCCAAATTGGTAATTGGGTGGATGCAGTCAGGCCATCTGGGAATTTGGCAACATAGACAGTTGATAAGGGAAATTTTTAGTATAACGAGGGAGGTAGGTGCTTGTTTTAAGTGGGCAAGAAAATCAGCTAATACCTTAGAAAAATAAGGGAGAGATTGTACTGGGCAGTGCTGTAATGTATGCTATTTATTGGCTCAACTTCATCTACTAGGGTTGACTTCTGTACTTCCGTATTGTGGATGCTTTTGTTGGAAAGGAATACAGCCGCAGACAGCAGCAGTAATGGGCATTAAATTCAGTGTTCCTATCTTATCTCTTAGCTAGATTCAGTGTTCCTATCTTATCTCTTAGCTAGATTCAGTGTTCCTATCTTATCTCTTAGCTAAATTCAGTGTTCCTATTAATTAGGCAGTAGCATTATTATTTAAAGATAAATGTTGTTAGGAAGTGTTCCTAAAGAAGGACTCTTATCTTCTTGTAATTTCCTATTTAAAGGAGCAGATGATATTCAATAAAATTATCAATAATTTCAGTCAAGAAAGAGCAGAGGAGAGTTGGTGATCTCTTTAACAAAATCACCATAAAGGCGCTAAAGATAGGTTCCTCGAGAAAAGGGAGAGACAAGGGAAAGCAAGAAGCTTTCCCCGTTAACCGACCTGTGACGAGATCCTATCGCGGGCCCTTAACATGATAAGGGAAATTTTTAGTATAACGAGGGAGGTAGGTGCTTGTTTTAAGTGGGCAAGAAAATCAGCTAATGGCTTAGCTGATACCTTAGAAAAACAAGGGAGAGATTGTACTGGGCAGTGCTGTAATGTATGCTATTTATTGGCTCAACTTCCGTATTTTAAAACTCATTAATGAAGTTACTGTTTCCAATCAGAAAAAAAAGTGAATCATGACTTTGTGTGGAGATGTCCTCTGTTATTTTTTTGTTTTGATAAATAGTGGTCTTTATTATTTAAAAGATCATAGGTAACTAGACCTTCTCCTAGGCAACAAAGTGGCAAGGTGAACACCTTATTGTAATAACATTCAAATTATTATATCTCATTGATATGCTGATAATACATTCTATATACTATATATACCATGTAGACTTTGTTTTGAAGTTTTAAAAAATTGAAATTTAAGAGATCGAAGGGTTTTGAGAAGAGAAAAAGAAAGAAAGAATAGACATACAAAAGATATTTCTATTTTTTTCTTTTTGTTTTTTTCCACTCTCTCTTTCTTACATTCAATAAAACGGTAGTTCCACCCTTGTTCTTTTTCTCTTTTATTATCTATCTTAAATTTTTATCATATAAAATTATGGCCTTTTTAGTGGCTAGTTGATATGAAATTACTCTATTAAATATTTATTATGTTATTATTACTTTTCAAAATATTATAATTAATGCATTTAAAATACTTTTATCTTTTAGATATGATGATTTGCCATGTTTTTGGAGGAAATTTAATATTCTTAATAAAGAGAATTGCTATTCTTTCAATTAATATGCATGACGAATGGTATATAAAACTGGGAAACTAGCCAAAATGTGGTTCTTTATTTATAAAATTCTTATCGCCTAAGCAACTAGGTGGCCAACTATCACCCAGAATCACCTAGACACCTTGACAACTTGTTAAAAAGATGAGCAGATAAAATAACAGATACAACTTGTCTTTGTTGAATTTTATTAGAGCCCTGATTAGGGCACATTTCTAACTTGATAAATGGGGCACAGCCATTGAAGAAAAGGCAATATGTAGGGATGCCTGACTTTTCAAAGCATCACTTTTGGTCTATTCACTGAGGGTGTATCCCCTTTATCAAAAGCAGGATGTGTTCTAATCACAACTCTTTTATTGTGATCACTTGTGTTTGCAATTACTATTGCCTAGAAAGGGAATTGATTGCAATTGGTGGAACATATAGTTCTCTCTTTCAAAATTTTATATTTCTCTCTTTGAAAACTTATCTCCTTAGATAAAAATATTTTCTTCTCTAAGTAACAATCATTTTCACTTACCACTCTCTCCCAATGCATCCATTCTATAGGTAATGAAGCTGAGCAATTGATTACAAGGATGATCAATCCTGGGAATGACCTAGGATCTTTCCAGCCACTGCAATATACTAGCTACTGACGGATCTGTTCATACCCAGGGAGGGACGTTGCCATTTCTGAAAATGACAACAGTACAAGAAAGACACTCTAAACCGGTAGTTTAGAGCTGGCAGTCTTAAAGACCACTGCCTTAGTTAGGGATAGGGTGGCGGTCTTAAAAGGACCGCCTCCTCAAAACCTAAATATGAAAAAATAAATAAAAATAGCAGTGGTTTTTGGGAACCAGCAAGGCAGTTCTAATTCTGAACTGGGGAGAGAGAGAGAGAGGGGGAAAAAGTTAGACAAAACTCAAAAGACAAAAGTTCTCCAAGTTCCCGCGTTCTCTGCTATTCGCATGTTTGACAAAGGCAAAAGGGTTTGCTCACAGGAACCCTTTGATGGAGAGAACATTGCATTTTGATAAAGAAGAGTATTTTTGTTGCAGAACTCCACTTAGAAGCATCATCAAACCTTCATTCTTTGACTGAGAACGCTGAGAATGCAGAATCACTTGAGAAGGCTCCTTGCATGAACCACTTGAGAAGGCTCCTTGCATGCGTGAATCAACTGATTAGGAGAGGGAAAGATTCCTTTCCATCGATTGGGAGATGTCCATACCAGCACCAATCCTTATTCGTTCAACCAAGAGAAGAGGAGGTAATTCTATAACCCTTTGATTGTTTTTCATTGTTTAATACTTGTATTTTGGGGATGGTGGGTAATAGGGTTTTTCTCCCAATCCAACAACGTCTGGTTGAAAAGGAGTTCTGGATAGGAGGCCGAAGGGTTTTGGATGTAGATAACACATTATTTTTTCTGCTTTTTCATTCTTTTAAATGGAGATGGATAGGGGTTTTGGATGTAGATAACACTTAATTTCTTCTAAATCTATGCTAGTTGATGCATTTGCAGGTTGCAGACTTTTGATTGTCAAGGCTACTAATCAGGGATGTGAGGGGCCAATACCTTCTGTAATTCTGTTAGTATCACTTGTGTGCCTGTTTTCTAATTTGAGAAGTGAGGTAACATTTTTTCTAACTTATTTTGTATTTTCCTGCAAGGGAATTCTTGTTATGTTACCTAACCTGTGAGAAAAAAGGTCCCATAAACAGTTTTCTATGGGGCTTTGAACCTGAACCATCATTTTTCAATGATATCTATCACCCTAGCCCTCTTTAAAACCTCAAGTAGAAGGTCTTCAAACTACCACACCATGTGATTACCAAATGTGATCATCCAATGTGCTGAGATTGTTGGCCTTTTCAAATCTTTCCTCCTCTGAGAACTGAGAAAAATTGCCCTACTCCTATTGTTTGGTTACCATGAATCTTGTTTAGATTATATGGTAGAGAAAGTAGAGAATAAGAAACGAGGAGGAAGAGATCACACAGGAAAAAACCCAGCAGCTCCTATTCTTCTCTCATTCAATGGAGACTCCAAATCAACTCCCACCTGGCAGGTCGTGTGATATATAGGGATTACTAAAAAAGGGTAAGTTACAGTGACCCCTTGTACTTTAAGGGGTATGGCACTTTGCTCCAAAACCATTTTTGCAACATTTGGTCCCCTATACTTCCATATATCGCAAAATCTCCCAATGGCGTTGATGCCTTGGTGGTGAATGAGAAATTACCTGGTTGCCTATATATTGTTTTTCAACTTTTGAAAGAAAAAAAAATCAAGAATAAGTGATATCTAATGTTGGTTGATGCCAAAGATCATATATTCTACCATATGAAAACTCTGGCTCGAATCCATTAATATATTTACGGATACTAATTTGACAAACCATATTTGGTTTGATTGGGTAGATCACTTGGATAGATGAGATTTATCCATTGATCTAAAAGAACACTTCAACGGCCTTGACTTTTGGGCTGAGTTGTTACATTATTTGGTTGAAATCTTGGTATAAATTAGATAATTGATATTAATCCATTGATCTTACACATACACACATACAAGAGAGAGTGAGAGAGAGAGAGAGAGATTAATCCATTGATCTTAGGAGACCATATTTATTAATCTTAGCCATCTAAACAATGTATTACCCAATGTTTTTTCCCCAGCTATGTGAGGTATTGGGAGGGGTAGACTGGGTACAGTCCTAACCTTTTGGCTTTATTTATATCCATTGATCTTAGGAGACTAGATTTGTTAATCTTAGCCATCTAAACAATGTATCACTCAATGTTGGCCCCAGCTATCTAAGGTCTTGGGAGGGGTAGACTGGGTACAGTCCTAACTTTGGCTTTATTTATTTATTTATTGGCACAGGGTGGTTATCCTAAGACTAAACCTGCATTCTCATGCTTGCCAGCCCCAAGATTTTACCATTACACCAAGTAATAGCCCTAGATTTTCTAAATATATCTATATCAAATAAAGTAATGTACAAACATGCCAAAGATATGAACTATCAAAATGGCCTCCTAAGATCAGTCAACTAATCTGTCATTTGTATCGAGATCATAGTTCTCGAAGCGACGCCTAGGTGACAAGGTGCCCTTTGAGGCTCGCCTTGCCTAATCGCCTAACAGTTTTCTACTTCTTACTATAAAATACTATTTTATTCATTCTTTTTTGAGATTATAATTATAAAATAGACATTATTAAACTAAAATAATCATTTTGTGTGTTTATATACTATTTTTTTATTATTTTATTATTTATTAGGGTTTAATCAACACAAACATTGCTAAATGCTGTATTGAACCCTCAAAGACTTGAAAACCTGAACCAATAAGTAAGGAATAACTTAAAATTTTATCTAATCAGCACATTTTCCTCTTCCATATATTCTTCTTCTTCTTCTTCTTCTTCTTCTTCTTCTACTACTACTACTACTACTACTACTACTATTACCAATACTTTTAATTTTCTTCTTTTCCTATTACAAAAATAAGGGTTCAGCCCCTATATTTTTTAAATTTTATTTTCTTTCTTCTTTTTCCTCTCATGAATATGTTGATTTTCTATACTTTAATATGAAATTTATACTTTTTTTTTATGAAAATCATGAATAATTATTAAAGAAATATGGTTATGGTACCTAGGGAATTACCCTAGTATCTATGTTTTTAACATAAAAAATCCATCGCCTAGGCGACTAGGCAACAAGGCGCCCCCTAGTTGCCTAGCCTTGCCTTTGGCGCCTTGAAAACTATGATTGAGATTTCAACTGATTTAGCCCATCCAAATGAGATACCAAATCAAAACATCTAAGCCATTAAAGAAATTTATAACCAGTGGATTAAACAAAATATTAATACACCATTCGCATGGTTGGAATTGGTTGATTGTCCTTGGGATGCCACTTCCATGGCCTAGACTTTAGATGATCATGGATACTACACTTTTTTTTTTTCATTGGGCATAGACTTTTTTAAAAAAGTTGATGTTTTTCTTGAATGGCCAAGATTAGTTGAATTCTTGGTAATGGATGGCCAAGATTAATTCTTTACTCTTAGGAGATCATTTTGGTCGTTTAGATTCTTTTGTTGATTTGATACATTGTTTGGACGACCCAGATTACTTTAAATTTCGGTACATCATTTGCATGATTGGGATTAGTTTAATGATCTAAAGAGCACTTTCATGGCCTAGATCTTAGGATACATCACTTGGACAAGCCATACTGGTTGGAATTAGTTAATTGATCTTAGGATGTCATTTTGATGGTCTAGATTTTAGTTGTTTGGTACATCACTTTCTTGGCTTAAATTTTTTAAAAATTTTGTTGCTTTACTTGAATGGCTGAAATTAATTGAATTGTCGGTACATTGTTTAAATGGCCAAGATTGATTCTTTTCACTTCGAAGACCATTTTGATAGCTAAAGTTTTTTTGTTTTTCTGTGTGTTGATTTGGTACATTTCTAGATGCCCTAGATTTGTTGAGAGTAGCATTGAAATTGGATATCGTGTTGATTTGCTACACTTATAACAAAACTCTCCTTTTTCTGTGTGTTGATTTGGTATATTTGTAGATGCCGTAGATTAGTGCACTTGTCATAAGACAATTGTGATGGCCCAGATCTTTTGATTAATCAGGTACTCATATGGATGGGTTAGATGAAATCTTGATACGTGGCTTAGATTTTCGGTGTTCTTCAGTACATAACTTTATTTGGCTTAGATTTTTTTAACAAAGTTTGGTGCTTTACCCCAATGGTTAAAATTAGTTGGAAAATCGAAATCATGAAAGGTTGTTTGGAATTTGGATGGCTAACATTATAAGAATGCTTTTTTTTTTTTTCTCTCTTTTCTATTAGAACATTTTGATACTTCAGAATTCTTGTATTTATTTGGTACATTTTTTGGATGGCCCGGATTTGTTGAGCATCGGTTTTTGGGTCAACAGTTCAACCATCCAGTTCAAATGGATGCCACAGTTTCAAAAACTATTGACCCAGGCGATCAAAACCATTGACCTGTTTCAAAACCATTGAAATGTACTAAATGCCACATCTTCCAAATCCACTACAATTGTAAGTCTACCCCTACCTAAGTTATAAAAGTTCTTTGAAGAGGGCAAATGTCTAAACTACTCTAGCTACACACACGTACTTAATGCATAAATTTTAACAAACCCAGTGATGCTAAGAAAATTAAGGTTTCAAGCATTGGTTTTAGGGGTATTGATATATGGTATGGGTGGAACGTGGGATGGTTAAAACTCGATTCCATAAGCTCAATTTCAATCCATCCATATCCACAGTATCCAATCCTTAATTGTAGACATTTTTCTTTCACCAACTCTTAGATTTAAGGCATTCAAATTTAAAATGGTTTCTCGCATGAATTCATCTAATAAATCCACATTTTCTCATTAAACTTTTAAGTTCTATCAGGGTGAACATGAGTCGGTACAGTTCAGTACCAAAGCAGAACCTGGAATGGTTTCAGGTTTGAACACC